TTTCTCCTAGGAATTAGAGATGATTTATTTTTATTTTGTGAGTGTTCTGCATGTATGTATGTGTGCCTAATACCCACAGAGGCCGGAAGACAATTCTCTGTAATTAGAGTGAGAGGCAGTTTTGAGCCACCATGTGGATGCTGGAAAGCAAACTCAGGTCCTCTGTAAGAACAGCAGGTGCTCTTACCCACTGAGGCAGTCACTCCAGCCCCTAGAGATCATCTGAAAGGGGAAGACCCTAGAACTAAAAATATTAAAAATAATAGCTTTGGGGTTTTTGTTTTTTGTTTTTTGCTTAATTCAAGTTAAGATTTTCCTCATCTTTTTCTAGTTACCAAAATGTAGTCATATTTTTAGTAGCGGTGTTTTATCAGAAGACAAAATTGGATTCCTCAGCTTTATTCATTATGTGTTAAGTATGCATCTTTTGGAGTATTCAATCAGGAAATGTCATTAAAAGTAAAAGTGACGGATGCAACGCATGCCTCAGCACCTTGCACAGGAAAGTGACTCTGGGAGAGTTGAGGATTTCTATTTTTTTCTTAGCCCTGGCCTATTGTTTATAAGGTGTGTGTGTGGGGGGGGGGGGGGAGTGTGTGAGTATCTATGTGTGTATAAGTAAGTATGTGTGAGTGTGTGTCTGAGTGTGAATGTGTGAATGAATGTTAAGAAAATGTGTGTGTAAATGAGTGTATAGGTATATGTCTGAGTATGTACGTATGACTGTGTGAGTAACTGTGTGTTGTGTCTGTATAAATGAATGTTCTTATGTGTGTTAGCATATATATCTGAGTGTATGTGTACATAAGAGTATATATGTGTATGTTTATGTCTGAGTGTATATGTGTATGTTTTTGAGTATATATATTGTATAACTATATTTGTGTGTATGTGTGTAGTAGTTTGAATGTAATTGGCCCCCATAAGCTCATAGGGAGTGGCATTACTAGGAGGTATGACTTTGTTGGAGTAGATATGGCCTTCTGGAGGAAGTATGTCACTGTGTGGGCAGGCTTTGAGGTCTCCTTTGCTCAAGCTTCACTCAGTATGACACTCAAACCATTTACTACTGCCTGTGGTTCAAGATGTAGGACTCTCAGCTCCTTCTCCAGCACCATGTCTGCCTGCACACCACCATTTTCCACCATGATGAAAATGAACTAAGAGGTTTACCTCTGAAAATGTAAGCCACTCTCATTAAATGTTTTCCTTTATAAGAGTTGCCATGGTTGTGGTGTCTCTTCACAGCAATAGAAACCCTAACTAAGACAGTGTGTGACTGTATCTATGACTATGTCTATTAATATATACATGTAAATGTGTGACTGAATGTGTATGTATTTGTCTGAGTGTATGTGTGTGTTAAAGAATGTATATAGTGGGTTAGTGTGTGTGTCTGAGTGTATGTGGGTATATGTGTATGTAGGAGTGGGGGGGTATATATGTATGTAGGAGTGTGTGTGGTTATATGTGTATGTAGGAGTATGTGTGGGTATATGTGTATGTAGGAGTGTGTGTCCTCTGAGTGCCAGCAGCGTTTTGGAGGTTGCCCAGGGAATCACAGCACTGAAGTGTATCAAATAAACTCAATAACAGGATTAAGGAAAAGTTTTAATTTATGACAACAACTCAACTGTGCAGTTTTGAGATTGTAAGTGAAGTATATCATGCTTGTGACGATAATCGGGGTGTATGTTATAATCTCTAGTATAATGAGTGAAATAATCGTAAAAGACTGCAGATCATCAAGCCAGTAAAAACTGTAAATTACAAATAGCTGGTCAATGCAAAAGAACGGATGAAAATATGTACAAAACACAGCGGGGGGCAGTGAAAAACAGACAGTAGATGATAGATGTAAATTCACATAGAAGCAATTAAATAAATATAAACAGACTAAATAATCTTAACAGTTTCATGAGTAAATTCTGGACAAAATTCCTAGAAAAATACAAAATTGTTTGAAATTAATAAATAAAGAATTAGAAAACCTTAATTGTCATTATCTGTGTGAGAAACTGAGTTCATTTCCAGTAACTATGCATAAAGAAAGCCCTAAGCCCACATGACTTTGCTATCCATATATAAAGCAAGCCCTGGGCCCAGCTGGCTTTACTGTGAGCTCTTTATAACAAAAATGGAGCCAGAAAGTCATAAGGAATTAACAACCTAAAAAAAAAAAAAAATCAATAAAAACCTCTAATACATGTAAGTCTGTGTATAAATATACATATTGTTTAAATGAAATTTTCTCATCTGTGCTAACAATACTTCCTCCATGAGCCAAAAATCATTTAACAAAAAGAAGTCCAATTCCAGACATAAGAATCCCTCTTCTGCGTCATTGGTCAGGGTTGTCCAAGAGACTCCCAAAGCATTACTATTGCGCTTGCTTGCTCACCAAAGGGGGAAGGTAAGTTCCTATTGCTGAAGATACCATGCACATCAGAAACAAGGACAGGGCCCCTGAGCTAAAACTGACCCAAATGTCTCCTCCCTGAGGACCAGCTTCCGTGGCACTGGGAGGCACCACGCAATCTTCCAAAGAAGAGAGGCAACCAACAGTTGACCCAGCTATGATGCCTGTGAACCACAACAACCAGTGTGGAATGATAGCCCTGAGGGTGCAGTACTGGCTCACATACCTTGGCAGTAACCAGCAGCTCTTCTAACTGGACTAAAGACCCACTCAACAAGAAGGAAACCATGCCTGGTACTGGAAACCTGGCCAACTATCCAGGGCTAGTGAAGTCATGGATCTTGGAGGAGAATCTACAGCCACCGCTTTACAAAACCAGCATAATCCCTAACTACATTCTAAATATTTTTCCTTACACATATAGAAAAATGTAACCCTTACCCCTCATAAAGGAAATTTCTCTTTGCAATACATGGAGACTGCTAGAAATCAGATGCTCTTAAGAGACTGCCCTCAGGGACTCAACCACTCAGCAGCTACATCATCACTAGTCGCCAACTCTTAAGAAGGTCCCTGCCATCCCAGATCATTCATTCTCTTGTTTATTCTCTGTCTTTCAGTCTCTGTCTGTCTGTCTCTGGCGCTCTCTCTCTCTCTCTCTCTCTCTCTCTCTCTCTCTCTCTCTCTCTCTCTCTCTCGTCCCCAATCCAAGCCAGTCCTTTACTCTCCCCTCCCCCAATAAACCTCTTACATGAGATCTGTTGCCTGGTGTGATCTCTTTGCAGCACACCTTGGCCCCAACTTGCCAAGGCACTCTGCCACTAAATCCTAACAGAGACCATTACAGAAAACCACAACCAATCAAAACGCAGAGTTGTGAAGCTGAGTCCCAACAGACAGCTATAAAACAACTCCCACACCTGAGATTCAGGGACCATTGTGGAAGTGGGAGAAGAAAGACTGTAAGAGCCAGAAGAACAGGGAGTTTACTGTAAGACTGTATCTCCCAATAATGTCAGTAGCTACACCCATAAAGTCTCACCAACATAACAGACCAAATGTGAGCTGAGCAACAACAATAGACATGGAGGGAAGCCCAAGGCTTCAACTCAGGACCAAGAACTACAGGCAGTTAAGGAATACAAAGAACAGGAGAAATAGTCTTCTCCATAAAAGAGTAATCCAATGGAAATATACATACATACATACAAGTAACATTATACAGATTGAGGAGGTTGTGTTTATATATTTAGGACTATATAGTTATATACATATTTGTATGCAGCAATAATTAATGAAAAAAGAGTTTGAAAGAGAGCAAGGAGGGCTATGTGGAATGATTTGGAGGAAAGAAAGGGACAGAAGAAATGATGTAATTATATTATAATCTCAAATCATAAAAAAGGTAATTAAAAAAGGACATAATGTTGGGTGGATACAGAAAAGGGAAGCATGTGGGAAGAGTTTGGGGGTGAGTATGATCAAAACACATTATATGAAAACAAAAACAAACAAACAAGCAAAAAAAAAAACGCCGGGCGGTGGTGGCGCACGCCTTTAATCCCAGCACTCAGGAGGCAGAGGCAGGTGGATCTCTGTGAGTTCAAGGCCAGCCTGGTCTACAGAGCAAGATCCAGGAAAGGCGCAAAGCTACACAGAGAAACCCTGTAGTGAAAAACAAAAAAAATAAAATAAAATAAAACACATTATATGAAATTCTCAAAGAACTAATAACAATATTCTTAAATTTTAAAAATAGTAAATATGAAATATTCTAAGTTGCAGGATTAATTTGCTACAGCAGCAAATACAGAAAAAGGACAAATACCTGTAACTGTTAACTAGGCTTCATTAGATGAGATCATCACAAAACAGAAGACCTGAACTCCCTTGGGCACTCATGTGAGAACCGATGCCTATAAGCCACACAGACATCAATGTGGAGGATACCAGTTGTAAACAAGTATCTGAGAACTCAGCTCTATTCTTCAAAGACAACTATGTCAATGAACAGTAATAAAGGCACCAGCAATCTAATCTATAGACATACAGGACAGAAACCATAATTCAGAGTAGCCATAAACACACAATGTAATATTCAATCTATGGTCCATGGAATCAAGGGGATATAACTAGAGCTATTTCCTAAATAATAATGTGATTAATTATAGAGAAAAGAATTTCAAAATGGAGCCAAACTATTTACCTTACTACATCAAACCCAGCTTGCTAAACCTAGCCCATGAAAAGTTAGCTGCACAGATGACTCCAATGGTCCTGACACCCCCTCTTTGCACATTCTGTTTTGCACAGATTCAATCTGAGTTGCCTACAAGAACAATATTGAGATATTCTAAACAGAGAAAACCACAGGAGGATAAAGACAGTCTAACGGTATCTGGTTGTTTGAACACCAAGCTCATTACACAGCACCTAGTCCACTTACATCACAAGTCAAAAGTCGGAAGCCAGTTGAAAACACTCACGCCACTCACAAATTCAAAATGGTTCTTTGTAAACATTTGAAAAAAATGACATAAGACCTTAAGGAAATGACAGTGCATCAGTTACAGACTTGTACCTTGCAAACTGTATCCACATCCCAAGGTGCGATCGTCCGCAGATCGATGATTTCACAAGACACTCCAAGCTTTTCTTGTGCCATGGAAGCCACCTCCCGGATGACATGAACCTGAAAATGAGGGGAAATACACAGAGAATAACTAAAACAGTTCAGACCTGAAAGTCTAGTTGGATGTCAGCATCGTTCATAGTGATACTCTCAGCAGCTGGAGAAACGATCTGCCGGGAGAATTCTGAAATGTGTTTTGGGTATGTTGATCCCCGTGTCACGGAAACAGCCAAGGAAAAATATCTACAAATCAATTAGAAAGAAATGCTAGTAAAAGGGGAGAAATACTCATTTCAAAAGCTCAAAAGGCAAATAAAGTCAGAGGCAAAGGCGGGATGGCTAGGGAGCATACAGAGAGAGAAAACCCACAGACCACCAGACATTTAAAGGGGAAAAAATGGCATAACAAGAGTTCTAAAAATAAACAAATAGCTAAAGAAACTGAAAAGGAAGAAAAAAGTCAATATATCCCAAAAACTAAAGACAAGAAGGTTCCATAGACAAAGTAGCCAGTATCCCCACCAAGTAAGAGATAAGTACTAGGTTTAATAACTGGAACAGGAACTGGAGAGAGGGCTCAGTGGTTAAGAGCACTTGCTGCTCTTACAGAAGACCTGGGTTTAATCCTCAGTATCATACATGATGGCTGACAACTAGTTCAAAAAAAGAGAGAAAGTTGGTTTGGAAGTAGAGAATTATGACACCAAGCCTTGATGTTCCAGCTGGGGCAAATCAGATGAAACTATCACTAGGAAAGAGAAAGATACATAATTCTGTCACTGGGTCATAGGAGAGATGCTCCACATGCCCAACAAAGCCTCGTAAGAGGGAGCACAACACCAGATGAGAAAGATACCAATGCAGCATGTAATATGGATATGCAATACAAGCTGCAGAGATGTTCTTAACGAACACAGCTGTGGACACCCATTTGATATCACACTATGACTGAACAGCCACCTCACCTCCACCCAGAAAACATTACTACAAACTTCCAGTCACAAAATGAGCAAAGTCCGAGGAATGAATGTGCAGCATAGTGACTAAACTAATAAAATTGTGCTGTTTATGAACTGGGCACGATGGCAATCCCAGAAATTGGGAGGTATAGGCAGGAGGATCAGAAGTTCAATATCGTCATCAGCTCCATAGCAAGTTCAAGGCCTGACTCGAGCAACATTAAGACTCTGCTTAAAGACAGTCATGACTACTCAAGGTACAGAGGTAAGTGACAGATGGGTGCTCAGCCCTTGGTAAGACATTCCACCCTCTCTAAGGCTCAGGGACAATGCGGAAGAGAGGACAGAAAGAGCTGCAAGATGGAGAGAAGGGCTGTAAAAATACCACCTTCCAGGCAAGACACCTCTGTGGTGATATAGTGTGTCCCCCAATACATTGTGCACCCTAATAAAGCTTAACTGAGGATCAGAGGGAAAAGCCAGCCACTATATTAGACATAGAAGTCAGGCAATGGTAGCACGTACCTTTAATCCTATCACTCAGAAGGCAGGGATCCATCCAGATCTCTGTGAGTTCAAAGCCACACTGGGAACAGAGTCAGACATGGTGACACATGCCTTTAATCCCAGCACTAACCATAGAAGTCTGGAGGTCTGTACAGACAGACAGGAAGTATTGTAGCTGGGCGGAGAGAGGAAGTGAGATGGCAGAACAGAAAGGCATATAGGCATGGGTATACAGGAAGTAGGTCTCTCTTTGGAGGCTGAGGAGTTGGTAAGGTGAGGATGGCTGTGGCTTGTCCTATTCCTCTGATCTCTTGGTTTTTACCCCAATATCTGGCTCCAGGTTTTTTATTAATGAGACCATTTAGCAATTCGCCTTATACACCCCCATTGAAACCATGAACTTAGAACAGCTGTGGATGGCTGCACTTGGTCTCCACAAAAACGGGCCTATCAATGGCCAGTCATGAATGGAGGAAGAGTTTAGAGGACCCCACATCCCACTGTGGAACTATTGTCTACTGATAGATTTATGGGGAGGAGGGCTCTGCCTTCTGACTGGTGACCCCACCAGGCTCCAATGGATAGTTCCAATCCCCTGCTCACTGTGGTTAAATTAAATGGGTCATAAAACCAAAAGTCATAAATCAAGGAATGAGACTCAGGGGCATAAAGGAGGGGGCAGCAACAAGGATGAAAGAGAGATGAAAGACGGTTAGGGAATGAGCTTAATCAGAAAGCATTACATACATATATGAAACCATCAACGCAGAAAATTAATCAAAAATAAACATAAATGAAGCCCTGCTTTAAAAAAAAAAAAGTTGGATCATTTACTTTAAATTTGCTCAGAGTAGATCATACACACACACATGCACACACTGCAGTAACAAACTATTGATTAACTTGATTGGAGGTCACCATTTGACAGTACACACACATGTGAAATCATCATGCCGTCCACCTTGAATCATTCTTATCTGTCACTGACACCTTAATAAAGTTGGAGGTGAGGAAGAACATCATCAGCACCAAGAGATTTCATCTGAGAAGCATAAAGAACACACCAAAATTACAAAAACCTTCCCAGCACAGTGTGGGTGTGGGCTCAGCAGGTGGTTGTGGTTACTGACCTGAGTGCCCCAGGCAACCAGAGTCACATCACTGCCCTCCTGGATGACTTCAGCCTGAGACAGGGGGATCTTGTAGGGTTCTACTGGAACCTGTTCCACTAAACACATAATGAGAGAGGGGAAAAAAAGTTAATTAATGTCCCTCACATGACACTTGTGTCTTAAGCACCGTAAGAATCTGTGACAGGATTTCATTGTTGAAAGCTTCATGTACAATATAAATTTTATTATATAGCTCCATGACATCACTACATAGATAAATATAAGCTATATGAAATACATTATCTACCCTGAAATATGAAAGACTGAGGTGAGAAACTGAATATATCTAATAATAGAAATTGAGTAAATCTTTTTTGTTGTTTTTGTTTTTGTTTTTTTCAAGACAGGGTTTCTCTGTCTAACAGTCCTGGCCATTCTGGAACTCACTCTGTAGACCAAGCTGACCTCAAACTCACAGAGATCTGCCTGCCTCTGCCTCCTGAGTGCTGGGATTAAAGGTGTCTAAGTACAAGAATTTAGCCTACAATGGTGAGATGATGGCAAAGGAAATGGACTGCGGGGGATGGGATTCTCTGTATTTTGTACTTTTTGCATAAATTTAAAACTGATATTTTTAAAATTCTTATAAATGTGGGTCCAGTGAAATGATTCAGCATGTGAAAGTTGTTGCAGCACAAGCCCAGTGACCTGAGTTCAATTCCCATAGCCCACATAAAGACGGAAGAAGAAAAGCACCTGGAGAATGTTGTCCTCTGCCCTCCCATCATATGCTGTATCTTACATGCATGGAATAATTTAAAAGTTAATTTTAAAAGAATCTTAAAAATTATTAACAAATCTGCCAAAACCCTACAGGAGCACCTTAAGTTCTCAAACCAGTTTTCTTTCAAGCAAGAAATCTATAAGCATTTGAAACATAGTGGGGGGAAATGCACAGTAGGATTAAACTTGGTGTGTTTCATTTTTGTACTGTGCATCGATGAACAATATTACCCTTAAGCAACCAACACCCTACAGACCTCACAAAGATTAACCAAATCAGTTTCACCAGGCCAAAGAGAAAAGACTAATCCACTGGTATCCCAGGGGAAACAGTTCTATGATTTTCCTATGTAATCCAGCACAAGAAATTGTCAGGTGAATTTTTAAATGAAATTAAGTTAAGCACTTGACAGATCTGCCCAGCTTAGAAGCTCTGAGGTTCTTCTGTGAGAGCAGCAGTGTGGTAGGAGTGCTAGGAAAAACTGCTGCTTCTTTTTTTCTCACCCCCACCCCCTACTTACATTAAACTGATCTGTGTACTTCTGCTGTGCATTCAAAGAGCAAAAAGGAGAAAACAAAATACAACCTTGCCTCTGTTTCCCAATCTCTAAAACAGCATTGCCCAGAGCCATCAATACACAGCACCCATTTTTTTTTCCTGGATCCACTTTCCACATTTGATTCTCTTCCCCTTCTTATGAAACAAGTTCTTGACTTACACAAGCTACCCCCACCCCCACCCCCAGCTTCCCTTGCAGCTATATCCCAAACCTCTCTGCTGATCTGCAGATTCTAATTTGGAAGCTGAAGAAATGAAGGAAAAGCAAGTGTTGAGAATAATTCTAAAGTCCTTCCTATAGATTCAGTGATATCAATCAAGTTACTGCAGTGCAGCACACAAGCAGGACTACTAATGCACCTTTGCAGAAACCACTATGTTAAGAATGGCTACTAGACACACAGCCTTTCAGCATGGTTACCAACCACTTTAAAGAACAAAGGGCTACTCAAAAATCCTTCATTAGATGTTTTCTACTTATATTATGTGAGTTGACGTCATCTGTTTGGAAACTCAGAACTCTGACTTAGGATATTTTCTGATATTAGCAGTATGCAAGTACACACACACACACACACACACACACACACACACACACACACGCAAATGCTTTGCCTTTCTACTTTCACAAATAGAATTACACTGTACACACTACCAAAAAAGAAAACTGCATCAACATTATCAACATTCTATTATTTCTTAGCAATGCATCTTGACCATATTTTCCAGTCAATACAGTTTTCAAGCCATATTTATAAGTTTAAAAAAAATGTTAAACTGAATAGTGCTAATATGTGGTGGACCAGCTGCTACTTTTACGACCCAGGGTACTCTGGAGTAGGGAGAACTGAGAAATATTAGCTAGAAAGAGATACCTAGACGATGAGAGGAAAGACAAAAAACACAAGATAGCCTCGGGAAGGCCTGGGTCCAAACCCATCAGCAGCCCAGAACTTTATACCAAATGGGCTTTTTATGACAGTGCCAAGGGGAGGAGCAAAGACCTCCCCCCTTGCGAGATACAGCCAAGTGTAGACCCTTCCAAGTGCCTGGTACTCAGGCTTGTGGTCCAATCATCCTCTTTATGCAGACCTGCCGGATAAAGCTACTAGGAAACCCAAATGGGCTTCAACACTAATACCATTGATGTATTACTGAGGATTGTCATGCCTTGTGTATATATTTGTGCTATTTCCACTCCAATCACATATCAGCAACCAGTACCTAAGAAAGTCACATAGTCTTTAAATAATTAATATATCTAAATAAATAACAAAATGGTAAAAACCTATGAAAACTTCTTTCATAGATAAATCTCAAAGCAGATGATTATTAAGCTAACAAACCCAAGACATAAAACAATAGCAGAAAACTTATAAGCATTAGGGTATTTTTAAAAGTTATTATGTATCAAACTATATCACATCAAATACTTTTGGAGATTGGCACACTATAGTTTACAATTTATTTTTAAAGAGCATGTCTTTGAGCTCACAGCCATGTCAATTATTTATGTATTGAACATGGCTGTTTTTACCATACAGCAGAGCTAAGTAGCTGCAATAGAGACAAAGTGACCTTAAACCTAAAAATACGTATTATCTGTTCTTTTACAGAAGGTGATACCAGCTGAGACTGCACACAACCCATTCAGAGATTAACTCTAGTTTATTCACTAACCCCATATTGGATGGATGGACAAATGGATAGACAGATGAACAGATAGACAGATGGAAAAATGAACAGACAGATAGAGAAATAGGCAGATACAGAGACATACTTGATGAGGGTACTATATCCTGCTTACTAGGCAGTTATCATCATGAAAGTCAAGACCACACTGAGGACGCCCGGCCAGAGACAGCACCCTGGCCCTTTGCCTCTACCTCATGCTCTAGCAGCAAGCTCATGGGCCAGCAGAAAAGGCATGGAGCTAGAACACATTCCATTCTGCTTGTGAGTCAGTGGCCAACATGCAAGAACCCTGTCTTCCTGCCTTGTAAATCAGTTGTCAGCTGGTGAAGAGCAAATCCCTGGAATAAGGACTCTGAGGCTGGCACACTTACATGAATGGGTTGGAATCTTGGCACATCTTCATTGAAAAGTTGCCAGCAATGACTGCCTTGTTGTCTTAAAAAAAATTACAAAGAACAATAAGTCCTCATTATTTTAGCAATTAAGGAACAGCATGGCAAACAATGCTTTATATTCTCTGTCTGTCTCTGTCTCTCTGTCTCTGTCTGTCTCTGTCTCTCTCTTTCCCCCATTCTCTCTCTCTCTCCATCATACAGAGAATTTTATTCAGAGAAAGGCATATTAAGACCAAATTGGGGCAGTCGACCTTCTGTAGGGAGAAAGTGAAATCCTGAGTGAATGTCAAGGACCAATATCTCAGCCACAGGAGTGCCAAAGCCTTCCCCAGGTAAGGCTCGGAGGGATGGCAAAGACTTCCTCTGCTCTAAGTGTGAATGCTGATGTGTGTACAGAAAATTTCTACTGGCTTTATACTTTCTACGCCTCCCCCTGGTGTTTCTAGCCTGAAAATTACTCCCCTACACAGACTAATCCTATTGAGATTAGCTAAACTTGCCTCCCTATTCAGCTGTGCATAATAGACCCGCCTCTCTGTTTATCCACATGTAATAACCCCACATCCCTGTTCCACTGTATATAACAAACACACTGAGCTTCAGGGTGCTGCAGTTTCTCCATCCAAGAGCTCAGACCTCCCGATCCCCAGCTTTTCTGTATGCTGTGTCTATGTGTAAGAGACACTATTACTTCATTACCTCACCACCCCAGTCCTGTCAGGCCCTGGAGCCCTGCTGAATGCAGCAGGTCTCTTCAAAGTTCTTTTCAGATCTGCATCAGTTTAATCTTAAGCACGTGAAAGCAGGAGTGCAACCTGAATATGTTCACTTATCAACGAGCCAAGCCAGAAGAGTCAGTGAAAATGACAGGTACTTTGTAGTTACAGTCATTTAAATGGTAACATATTCCAGGAGAAGGTCATTTCAAATAAGTAAGCGTGTGTTCCTACCCTGTAGTTATGTGCTTTCTGAAAGGGTCAAGCAACAGGAGCTGAACTCTGGCATCAGGAGCTAAAGGGCACCACATATGCTCGGAGCATGGAAAGCTAAATCCACGCCCCTCTCCTTCATGCTGATTACATTCACACCCAAATGAACACTGCACAGAGAGATCAGTACCAGATACATCGTGATGACTGTACAACTGAGAAAGTAAGAAGTCATTATAAAGGCAAACACAGAACACAAAAAATCATTAGGCAGGGCAGGTTTCATAAAAGTATGCTGTAAACTTCTCACCTCCACACTTGCTTGCACATGAGAAAACATTTGCATGCACCGCACATGTTCATTTACAGATTCATGGCATGAATAAGTTTATTTTATTTCCAAATAGCTCATTTCATTTTCCATACCAAGGCTTTTTCTCCCTGTTTTCTTTCTAATAAACCATCTTAAACAGAGCTTTGCAAGAAAGAAAATGCAAAAATATACACACTATGCATAATGCAGTCAGTTAACAATGACCAAGCACCCAATATATCCAAGGCCTCAAGTAAAATGTTGTACCAAAAAACAAAAAAATTTTAAAAATTAAAAATAAAGAAGCCACTCATGCTACTGAGAAACACAACCTCCCTGGGAGCTATAAAGATGAAAGATACTATTAGCCAAGAAATAAAAACATGATATTGACAACACATCACCGGCCACGCTGGAAATCTAGAAGGAAACAGCCTGCTTA